CCATGTCGTCTACATAGCATTCTACCTTTCTACCAATTAATGGCGCAAACAACTTATTTACAAGCCTTTGAAAGGTTGCCCCTGTGTTTTTCAACCCAAAGGGCATAACCTTGTAACAGTATAGACCAAACTCTGTGATGAAGGCAGTCTTTTCTTCGTCTGCCGGGTCCATCTTGATTTGGTTATAGCCCAAATAGGCGTCCAAGAAACTTAGCAACTCATGCCCTGAGATCGCGTCCACCAAGCGGTCAATTATGGGGAACGGGAAGTAGTCTTTTGGGCAAGCCCAGTTTAGTTCGGTGTAATCGACGCACATGTGCCACTTGCTATTGGCCTTCTTTACCAGGACGGGGTTGGCTACCCAGCTCGGGTAATGAACTTCTCTTATGAAGTCAGTTGCGAGGAGCTTCTCGACCTCCTCGTCGACTGCTTTCCACCGCTCCGGGGCTAGGTTGCGTTTCTTCTGTCTAATGGGCCTAACTACAGGATCAGTATTTAGCTTGTGAGTTATAAGGTCGGGGTCTATACCGGGCATCTCTACCGCGGACCATGCAAAAACATCCAAATTTTGAAGTAAAAAACTTACTAGTTCGGATCGTAGAGGTTCCTGGACGGAAGCGCCAATCTGAAGCGTCCGAGCTGGGTCTGCTACTGAGGTCGGAACTGCGACTGTTTCTTCCGTGGGCGCGGCTTGTTCTTCGCCTTGCTCCATAGGCCGCTCCAGTTCGAGGTCGTTGGCCACCTTGGTCTTTCCCTTCAGGGCGGTGACATAGCACTTGCGGGACTCGAGCTGGTCGCCCTGCGTTACCCCCACACTGAAGTCTGTAGGGAAATTCATTGCCAAATGGTAAGTGGAGACCACCACTCGTAGGATATGGGTAATCGGCCGACCTATTATGGCATTGTATGGGGAGGGGGTCGCAACCACCAGGAAGTCGTGGCTGAGTCTGACTACGTAGGGCCATGTGCCAACTTCCACAGGTACTGTTTTTTTTCCAAGGGGCCGGACTTCTTCTTTGTTGAAGCCCACCAAAGGAGTGTCCGCAGGTTTCAAGTTACTTTTTTGCAACTGAAACTGGTCGAACGCAACTTTGAAGAGGATATCTGCCGAGCTGCCCGAGTCAACGAGTACGCGCCTGACCTCAAAGTCGTTGATCCTCAGCTTTATCACAAGTGCGTCATCGTGGGGGTAGTGGACCCCTCGCGCATCATCTTCTATGAAGAAAATTGGCTCTTCTGTCCTCGGCCGCTTCAGAGGATTCCGTTCTTCCTGGGCGGCTTCACGAACTGACGTCCGAGCTGCTACTGAAGTGCAACCCGCGACGATCGAACCTCCCACTATAACGTGGATGGTGCCCCAGACCGACCTCTCTTCCGGAGGCTGCCTCTGTGACTGCTCGGTTGGCCTGCTGCTGGACTCGGGAGCATCCTTACCATGCTCCCCTTGCCGACCTGCTTTATTATTATTATTGTTGTTTTGTACAAAGTTCCTTAAATATCCACGACGGATGAGTTCTTCAATCTCGTCGCGGAGATTTTTACAAATTTTGGTACTATGACCGTGATCATTGTGAAAGCTACAATATAGATTCTTATTTCTCTCATTGGGATTTACCCTCAAACGGGGTGGCCACTTCACATACGGGGCGTCCTTGATCACCATCAGGATTTCGGCCCGCTTCGTGTTCAGTGGGGTGTAATTAGTTCGGTCCGCTGCAGGAGCTCGGAACGACTGACCTGGCTTTGCCCCCCGAGCTGCATTCTTTTTCTTTAGGCTGTCCCCTTGGCTGGAAGGCTCTCCTTCCCTCTTCCTCTTTTCGGGTGTGCTCCCGCCCTTCTGGTTGATCTCCTCTTCGGTGGCTATGAACTTGTCTGCGAGCTTAAGAAATTCAGTTATGGTCGCTGGTTGGTTGACGACCATGTGCCATTTGAACTCTTTGTGCGTCACGCCTTTCTTAGCTGTTGCGAGGCGTATGGCGGGGCCCAGGCGTGGTATCTGCATGCAAGCATCGTTGAACCGCTTGACATAGCCCCAGATGTATTCTCCTTCTCTCTGCACTTTGTTGAGGAGGCTTTCTTCAGTTCGCGGGCACCGCTTACTGGTAACAAAGTGGGACGTGAAAGCCTGCGCGAACTGCGCCCAACTTCTTATTGATCCGGGCGCCAGGTTCCGGTACCATGTGCGGGCTACTCCTCTGAAAGTGGTGGAAAAGGCCACGCACATGCACGATTCACTTGCTCTTGCTAGGTGCATTTGCGACTGGAAGGCATCTATGTGATCATTTGGGTCGAACGACCCGTCGTACTTATCAAGAGGGGGGAGCTTGAAATCTTTAGGCATTGGGACTACTAGGAGCTCGGGAGATAGGGGGATTGAACTGAAAGGATGGGTGCCTTGACCTCGCCCGAGCTTACCCCTTCTTTGCCTCCGAGCTCGAGTAGGTTGTGGGTGGCAGACCGGCGAGCTCGGCGGCGGCGTCTCTACTTCTTGGCAGGCTTGACATTCGTGCTGCTCACTTCTGTACTGTCATTAATGGTGTGTGCAGGAAGCAGCTCAGGCCGCTGGTGATGGCTACGGACAAAGGGCTCCTGCTTGGAGCCTGCGGCCAGGATTTCAAATTGGTTTTCCAAGAACGGGGTACCAGGCTTTGAGGGTTGAGGCGACGTGGGCCTGGCGAGCTGAGGTCCTCCCGACCTGACTGCCCATGGCGAGGTCGGAGTGGCCGGTCTTTCTTGTCTGCCGTGGGAGGAGGCCTAGCTCCTTGGAGGGTTCTGGGGGGCCTCTCCTTGGCGAGATGAGTGCTTCTCCTGACGACGAGACCTAGCTCGCTGCGAGACTGGGTGCCGAGGGGGAAGCTGCGATTGCTGAAGCTGAGGTTAAGGTAACTGGGAAAACTGTTGCTGATACTGATACTGGGAGACCTGGTGCAGCACATGCTGTTGATAGAGCTGAAATTGTTGGAACTGTTGCATTTGGGCCTGCATGGCCCGCATGCACTGCATCAAGTCCTCCAGTTGGCTCGGGCTAGCCGCTGGGGGCACGACCGAAGGTTCGATGAAGGTTGCTCCGACTATAGCAGGGAGCAGCGCGACGACAGGTGCCACTGCAAGAGGCACATTCAAGCTAGGGATTTCGTCCGCCGAAAAGGGAATGGTGAACTGTCCAATGCAAACAGTAGGAAGCTGGGGTTGCTCCTTGGAGTTATCCATCTCCATGCTTCGTCCGATGTTGCTAGAGGAAGCCATGAGCGTTGAGTTTCTGGAGAGTAAAGAGACGTGAAAGTTTGGAGAAAGGCTTTTCGAAGCGTTTCCCACAGACAGCGCCAAATGATGTAGCGCGATTTGGTCACTCCTATCTAGCACTCACGTGGCTCCTGAGAGGTACCTGAAACGAGGAGGAAGAAGAAGAATTCCCGGGGGGGTTTTCCTGGCGGGAACACTCCGACGATTAAGTTAGTATTCTGTGTGAGAAGCAAAGGGAAGACGAAGGCTAAGAGTGCAGTTGCGCAAGTGGTTCGAAGATACCTTGTTCCTTGAGAATAAGCCCCTTATAACAGAATTCCATTGCATCAGGCCCTCTGGCTTCTGACAGGGCAGGTATAACCGCCACTGTCAGTCTGCCGCAGCCGTTACAGGCAAGGCTGAGGTGGCACGCGCGGGGCCGTTGTCGTAGGGTACATGCCTGTCAGGTGTAAGGCACCTTCTGAAGGTGGCAGGCGCGACGATGTCTGACGAGGGACATGGCTGCTGTCCCCAGGTTTGTCAGGTACGGTGGTCGGGTAGGAGATCTTTCAGTGGTACGCCGAACTACCCTTTCGTGAGTTACCCTGTGCCAGGCTATCCCATAGGCGGCGAGCTGCCTGTGGCAAGCTATGCCGAGCTGTCTGGCCCGAAGTGTTTTCACCCCGGTGTGTCTAGAGGTGGATCGGTGAGCTCCCGTCGGGGAGTGGCCCGAGGTCCATCGGGAGGAGCTCGGGTATCGAGAAAGGTCAGGGCACCCCAACCTCGGGGTACCCCGAAGTGCCTTAACCCCGGGGAGGAGATGCAGGCAAGACGGCTTCTGGCGAGTAGTTTATCCGCCCAGTTACCGAGCTCAACTCGGTGAGACCCTCCCCCCGAGTTGTGGCTATGTCAGTTGCGCTGTCACGCTGAGTCACTATTTGAGCAAGGTCACGCCCACGTGTACCCGTGCTGCGAGATCGGGCCTAATCACCCTCCATCACTTCTCATTCAACCCCTTTACTAAAAAGTAAGCTGATGTTACATTGAAAGAACCATTTGATGTGAACATCTATATCACCCTATCTTCTCATCTGAAAGAGCCAATATTGATCTTGAGGATGGCCTCAGCCACAATGGGACTGAATGAATAATGAATGAGATCAACTTTCTATCTTCTAGATCTGTCATTAATCAGCCCATTTACCTTCACCGGAAAGGAGATCCTGGCATAAGACCCATCATTCCATATCCTTGAAGAGATGGCAGCCAAGGATGGTCCCAAATACTAATTTGGTTACCAGAGCTGACTTTCCAAATAGCACCCTTAAGCAATAAATCCCTACCAGCCAACAGACTCTGTCATCCCAAAGGTTCAATTCTTTTGATACCCATATCAAAGAAGCTTTTATTGTGGAAATATTTTCTTTAACTACCCTAACCCAAAGGTTGAAGAGGTTTGGACTCCTAAAACCTAAATCCCCATCAAGCTTATTATTTCTGATTATATTCCAATTAAGCCAATTTGCTTTTTCCTTGGTTTTCAAAATCAGATTGGACCAGATGGTCGGATTGGGAAAACCTGGAACCAGTTCCATTTTACCCCAGAACCGTTATTTCACCAAAAACCGTTGATTTGGTCAGTAAACCACTGTCCCAGGCTGTTGAATCGTTCGAACCGTCCAACGGTTTTGGCCTTTTTTTAATTTTTAATTTTTTTTTGTTAGAATGGACCATCTGATATATATAAATCAGCCCAACTTCAGCTTCAGCAATTAAGGAACTCCCACCCTCCCTCGAAAACATATTGAATTAAGAAACCTGCAAAATTGCAATACAAAATGGAGTTTCCATCTGGAAACTAGTTATTTCAGTAAAGATGCCTTGACAGAAGGGAGATTTTATCCCCAAAGATCTTCTATTCTAAGCCCCTCAACCAGAAGGGAGAGATAAACAGAAGCTTGGATGATGCCTAATGTTAGATGGTTTATCCTCAAGTTTTTTCCCTTTTATGCTTGAACTGGTGAATCTGAATGAAATTACAGCAGTACAAGGCTTTTAAACAAAAAGACTACTCTCTCTCAGAAGAAGAGTCCTTAAAATGTCTTCACATATCCTAGTATCCAAATAGATCATATGCCCACCATCAGGAAACTCATGATACTGAACCCAAGGCAGCCTTTCTGTGACATAGCGTTGTAGGAGAACTGGGATGATCCTATCTTCATAGCCTTGCCAAATATGGACAGAGCTCTCATTATGAGGGAATGGATTATTTAGCTCCATGGGGTCGAATTCCCAGGTGCCAAATCCCACCATTAAGTCTCGATGAAGAGATTCAAAGACACCTTGCTGTTTTGCTTTATCCTGAAGTTTGTAAACAGAAATTTTGTTGATATCAGGTACTAAACATGACCCGAAGAATGTCAAGTCAACTACAATCCTCAACAATATTTCATGGGGTCATACAATTAAATGCATACAAAGGAGAGAAAAAGAGGGGTCTTCTAACTGCATGCATTACTGCTTAGAGGGCTTCCAATTACCAAAATGTATCTGTTCATCCCTTTGTTCTTCTTTTCTGCTAAGTTCTCTCAATCCCAATTTAGGAATTGCTTATATGAACAAATTACTCTTACTATCTGTGTCTGGCTCCAATATTAGGAAATTCAGAAAAGCTTCAGATCCATATACATACAGAGGTTGGAAATTTCTGGATTTTTGAGTTACCTGAGGGAATGGTGGTTCGAAATCTTTGCAGACACCAAAGCCATGAACAATGATGATCTTGTACTTGGCATCCTGCTTAGGAACTCCTGTCTCTCTGTAGGCTAGATGTCTTCCATCGCTGACTCTGATTCTAGGTGAAGTAACAGGAGGTCCTCCTGGGGTTCCGCAGATTTTTGGAGGGGGAGGCACTGTGGCCTGATAAAGCCATGCCGAAAGACCTGCCAGCAACACCACTACTATCCTCTTGAACATACCTGCAACAAACAAACTTTGGTGTTACATTAGTGCAGTGTGGATAAAAATAGTTGAGGCATAATGAACCATGAGGACAGGCCTGAAGAATCGTCTGATGAGGTTTCCTTCTTTGGGGACTCCCAAGGCCAGAGAAAGGAAACAATGGTCCTGTCCCCCTTGCTTCAGTTCCCTCTCTTATTGTGTTTGTTTCTGGTATTGGCTCTTGGATTCTCTTGACTATTAGATGGAAATCGTGCCATCTACTTCTATAAAATTCATCCGTTGTTCTAAACTATATAATCCACTATGGTATTATTTTTTTGTTGAACTTTCCCATGAAATCAACGTTTTTTTATTTAATTTCAGATTATTATACTCTCAAAGCTCCATTCATGGATACAATTTTAAATTTCAACTTACCTTACATGCCATTTGTGATTTCTTGTTTGCAACTTTGTTCTAAAGGTGCAGGAGTTCGGATCTGCTCCTCATATACCCTGCCTCACTAGGAATGGCAACGGGTAAGGTATTCGTGCAAATTGCCCAAATCATTCCCGAATTCATCTATATGTACCCTTGACCTCAAATCCTTCCCAAATTCATCTAACTTTTTCACTTAATTTCCCAAACCCATTAAACTCGTCTCAACCCATCCCATGCTAAGCCATCTCGCCTTTTGTGGTATTTAATGAAATAAACTAATTTTTATTAACTTTTGTATTCATCCAAACAAACAATACATATTTATGATTAATAATTCCAACTAAAAATTAAAAGAAAGAATATTTAAAATTAGCATTTTATAAATAAATAGAATAAATAATCTATCAAATCCGAATTTACATCAAAAGAAGATTTTTATCCCAAGAATTTATACAAATAAAACATTAATAATATAATAATTATCTTAGTACTTAAAATTTATAAATTTGTGAATGATACATATCTTACAATTTTTATATATTTTTATAATTATTAGTTAATTTTTTAATTTATATTAAATAACATTATATTTATCATTTAAAAAATAAAAATTTGTTTACAAAATATTCGAGAATATAATATTAAATGTCTATCAAATCCACTAATTTACATTTATATGAAAATTGATTTTTAGTTTCAAAAATTTATAGAAGTTCAAATTTTAATAATGAAATAATAATTTTAGCAATTAAAAATTATGAATTTGCATATGATACATATTTTGAAAGTTTAACAGATTTGATATATTTTGAGTAAAATATATATATTTTGATAAATTGTTAAATGATAATTTAATTTATATTTGAGAATTTACTATTTGGTAAAACTTTTTGTTAATGTTAAATGATAAAAATAATAAAATAGAAAATAATTGATATAATAATTAGGATAAATATAATAGTTTCATGTATTTTATGTCTTGGGCTCTTAATTAATATATTGTTTGATATCCATATTTGTATCCTAGTTGTTCGATATGATACTTGATACCAATGGGCATTTGGGAAGAAAGGAACAATAGAACTTCTAAAAATAAAGCTAGAGATGTTGAAGATCTAACTTTCTACATTACACATCTTTATAACCTTTGGGTAATCAACTTTGAAGTGTTCAAAGGTCTCTCCCTAAATGATCTTGAGAGAAACCTTCCAAAAATTCTACACTCCTCTCCAAGTTCTGAGTGGACTATGAGACATGCTCTTAGAGAAGAAGGAGAAATGACTCTAAAATTTGATGGTAGTGCCCAAGGATCCATAGGTCAAGTAGGAATTGCAGGTGTAATCCGAGGGGAAGGGGGAATATTTGCTAGGCTTACAGTGGTCCGATTGGGAGGGCTGATGCCACAAAGGTAGAGGTATTGGCTGCACTCACAGGGATCCGCCTTACCAAACGGCTAGGTCTATCCTCCTTAACCATTAAAGGGGATTCTACAAATACTATAGCTTGGTTACAGGAGAAGGGAGGGCCCTGGAGACTAGCCCACTTAGCTGAAGCCAGGGATATCTTAGGCTCTATGAATGTGAAGTTGGTCTGGATTCTTAGGGAGCAAAATTCTGTTGCTGATATCCTAGCAAAATTATGGGGCTCTAGAGATTTCTTGTTTAGTGACAGTTGTTTGCCTTTGTAATCCTGCCAAGCCACTTGGTTTAAGTACATCCTCTCATGTGCTTTTGTTTTTTTCTTCAATCAAAGTTACATTTGCTTCAAAAAACAATACTTGATACCAATACTTTAGTCATTGGTTCAATTTTAAGTATATAAAAATATGTTCTTCAAAGTTCATTATCAACCAACAACATTCAACAAGAATCAACATTACATAGAACTCTTCCATATAAAAAAGCAAAACAATATAGTATAAATCAAAAAATAAATAAAATTAAATGACAAAAGAGAATGGGTAAACAAATAAACATGGAGGTTGAAGGATTAATTGGAGCTTTACTTAAAAAAAAAATAGGGTATAGGGTATTGGATACCCTAAAGTCAAAGGCCAAACACATCCCAAACCTTATAAGATTTTGATAAACAAGTCCTATTAGGGTTGGGACAGGTCAGATACCCAAAAATTCCCATGAAATTGCCATCCCTATGCTTCACACCGATCTCACAACACATTTTAACTGTGCATCTGGAACATCTTAGTAATTATAAATTTTTATTCTTGCGGAAATGTTCCCAATGCACAACTGAAACATGTTGTGAGGTCGGTGTGAGGCGAATTTTGTGAGAGCACATTCGAACTCACTTTAGAAGTCGTAATGTAAAGTGGGCCCGACATGATATGGCCCATGATGGGTTTGAATTTTGAGGCTTGCGGGCCGGCATGGCACAACCCATATTTTATATATATATATATATATATATATATATATATATATATAATTTTATTATACTATTTTATTCCAATTGTAATGTAATTTTTTAATTTTATTTTATTATTTCATATATAAATGATTTCATACACCAAGATTCGTATAGCATTAAAGTTTAAGATTTTTTTTTCAATTTATTGTTTATTTTGTTAATTTATTTTAAAATTTTCATTATTTTTTTTAAATACCTTTCATGGACTCGCTAGACACGGGCCCGCCTAGGCTCATGTCACAAGCCATGCCGGGCTTGACCTTTGAAGGGTTTCAGGCTAGGCAAGCACGGCCCACCCAGGCCTGCCTGCTAGCATCGTACAACCCACTAAAGCACTGGTAGTCCGTAAAATCATGCTGTTCCAACATGACAAGACCCACTTTACACCTCTAGTTACATGTTAATTATGACATACACATTTAATATAGATAATCTATACTATATATAAAGCAAATAAATCCATGCCATCATACTCATGTAATTAAATTCAAAAAATGTTATATGTTACACGTTAGTTATGGCATACACATTTAATATAAATAACCTATACTATATATAAAGCAAATAAGTCATGTCAGTATACACATTTAAGTTCAAAAATGTTATATACAGCTAGACGATAGTTAGGCATACACATACAATATAGATAATTTATATTATATATAAAAGCAAAAACAAAGGAATTAGTCCATGTCAACATGCCCCTTTTTCTATTTCTTCCTTAATTTTCTCTTATTTCTCCTTACTATATCCAAGTCATCACCCTTTCTCTCCTTTTTGACAAAAGGCTAATAGAGAAAATTTTGGGTATTTCACAAATTTTAAAGTTCATATGGTATACATATGATCAATTCCCATCCACTTTTTTGACAAAAGGATAATGGAGGTGCACATGAGAAAAGATAATTTGTTATTTAGTAATGGCATATACATTCAATACATATAAGCCCCATTCCTTTGCTGTAAATAAGAAGAGAAAAGTTAGTAAATGGGTATCTCTCCCATCCCATTGACCAATTTTACTTTATAATGTTCCTTTTTGCATTGAGTATTGGGCCTCCTAATAAGGAGAACGTAAAATTTATTCATAATGGGACAAATTTGTCTATTTTAACATTAGTTTTTTATGAATAAAAAAGTCATTTTATTACTTATTTGGAAATCAAAAAAACATGGGTAAATACATGAAACATTTACCTCAGCAAGTTTATTTATTCAGGTAATTATTCAGGTAAGTGAGAAATTTGTAAATGAATAAACCTAACCTATACTATATAAAATAAATCAGTCCATATCAATATATTTTTCTTTTCTTTAACCCACTTTTTTATTTCCTCAATTCTCTCTCCTTTTCCTTTCCAACCAAGTCAATACCTTTTTTTTTTCATTCTCTTAACAAAAAGGCTTATGGAGAAAATTTTGGATATTTAACAAATTTTGAAGGTCATATAATGCACATATGACCAATTCCTGTCCACTTTCTTGACAAAAGGATAATAGAGGTGGTTATGACGTAATGTAATATGCATGTTAAAGTTTAGACTCCTGTTCACTTTTTCTCCAACATATATACTTGACTTTTCAAACCATGTAGAGATTGTCAATATCTCTCATGATGTGAATATCTTTCATTTGAACAGTTGAATTGAGCGAGAAAGGATTAGGTGGGTGAGACCAAATACTCTCAAGAGGTGGAAATATGACTATTGACGTTTTAAGGTAAATCCAATGGTCATGAATTTATCAAAGATCTAATTAAAAGATATTATTTAAATATTAATAGCCATTAACTATTAATCAACTATAAATATATCTAAATAGCTTTCTCAAACATACACTATCCTTATTGTGATTCTCAAGAATCTATAAAACGGTATAAATCAAATCATTTTAATTTGATTTAAATACAGAATAATTTATTATTTCAATATGAAAAACGTTTTTTTAGAAAAATTTCAATTTTATTAATTTCAGTTTCTCATGTAAAGCTCTCTTGTGCCTTGAGACCTGCAGCCATTTTTTGAAATTGAGATAGATAGAAAGAGTGTGAGGAGGTGGTGGCAGTGATTAATACAAAAAAAAAAACATTAATATTGACCAGCCAAGGGGTGGTTGTTTGAGAGTCAACCAACCAATCCAAATAATATTTTGGGCCTAGTGCCACTTTGATCTCTAAACTTTAAAATACGATAATTCAGTACTCGAACTTTCAAAACGTGTTAATCCATTATCTACCGTTAACTGGCTTGTTAACCAGCTGTTAAGTGGCATTCGAAAAGATACAAATGTCTTTCCAGTGTTATCT